TATATATATATATATAGTCTAATAAATAAAGATTTTTTTTTGTCATATGACAAATTGTCATTCATTTGCCACATGTCATTTTATAGTTATTTTAAATTAATTTTTATTCCACATGTTATTTTATGGTTTTCTATTTTATTAAATTCCACATACTGTTTAAATGTAATAATCAATGCCTATCAATTTCATTAATGGACTTTCTTTCTAATTTCAAAATTATTAAATTAAAGCCTCATTAGTTTCCTTTGTTTATTATCCAAATTATTTGTTTAAATTCAAAAGAGAAAAAAAACTTTTAATTTTAATTAGTCAATATTTTTTTCACTTTTCTTATAAATTCAAAGTTCTCAAATGTTTTCATTTTATGGTTATTTTAAGAACCATCCTAAGATGATGTGTTTTGTAAATACATAAATGGATTTGTTCTTTAAGAATCATTTTAAGATGGTGTCATTTGAAAACATAATCTTTAACAGAATGTGTTTTGTAAACACATTTACCATTAAATAATGGTCAATCTTAAAGAACGATTTTAACCAGATTAAAAAACCTTATTTGATCACAACCCCTAATTCTTATATAAGGAATCTTTTATGCCTAATACAATTACAAATATAACATATTCTTCAAGAATATTTCATTACTCATTATCGATTGTAGTTTCTTGTTACTCCTGTTACGTAACCAAACACCAATTGAAAATAAAGATTGTAGTTCACATTGAAACTAGGAATATCGATGATTACGTAAAACGTAAGCCGGAAAATTGCTTCTTGAATTGCAAATGTGAAAAAGAATAGGAAAGTTAAGAGTGAAAAAGTAAGAATTAAAAAATCAGAAAAATTATTTGGAATAGAGCATCTCATTCAACTTAAATTCTTCAGACATAAAGAGGAAATCGACACGTACCTGGTCGATTAGGTTCCAAATCATATGAAATACCTTCCATTCCTGAAGAATAAACCATGTCAACACCCTTGGGAAACGAATTCGAGGTTGAATATGGTCGATTAGGGCATTAACAAGACCTTCTCCGTCAACACGCTATGTGGAAGACGTTCGATCAAAAACAGGTCTAAATAGATTTTTATTGTTGATCAAGGCTTGTCGGGGAGGACTAAAAGCAAAGAAAGTTGATGCCAGATCTTAATCTTACCTGCTGTAGGTGGTCATATTTTGTTCGGAGATGAGGCAGTGATAGTGGTGAAGCGACGATGGTGGTTCTCGGACGATGATGGATGCCCTCATTTTCAGGTTTGTCATCTTGAGGTACAAAGGCAAAGGCGGTGATGGTATAAAGATGTCGATTATGTTCCTGTGAATTGAATTAGTTTTTCCATCGTGAGTATGTAGATGTATACTGAGAAAAGAGATATGGAAGAGGTAATATAAAAGGAAAGAGATCATTTTGGAGTTAGTTACCTAAATTAATTTCGAATAAACTAAAAATATAATTAATTAATTATTGTGTTAATTTACTATAATACCCTAATCTAGTTTTTTGAAAAGATTGGCTGAGAATTAATTTCACAATTATATAATACTTGTTGGTTTACATATGATTATATATATGGGGATAGGAAATATACATTACAGTCTCACCTAAGCTTAGGTACTAAACCTCTAAAATATGTCGTTTTAACATGCTAAATATGCCCGGTTTGGTTTCACTTGGTAAATATATCATTTTCCATAACATTTCTTTCTTTCATTATCGTTTTATCATCTCTGTTTTCTTTCTTCAATTATCGTTTATTACTTCACCCAAGTGAGCATTACTAAACCCTAAACCTAAACCCTAAACCCTAAACCTAAACCCTAAACCCTAAATCTAAACCCTAAACCCTAAACCTTAAACCCTAAACCCTAAACCCTAAATCTAAACTCTAAACCCTAAATCTAAACCCTAAACCCTAAACCCTATTGTGTCGATCTTGAGTTTACATCTTGAAGTATTAATCGTGAATCCATTAACCGTAATCTTTATATAGTAAAACAATGTATTTTCA